TCTCCCTTACCTGTAAAAAATCAATAAAATATATTTTTTTAAAAAAAGAAGAAAAGAGGAAAAAAATTTCTGTGTGTGTGTATGTATGTAAAAGTTTTTTTTGTTTTTCTAAAAAGCAATGTCTAAACTGATTTCATCCATTTTTCCATATTTCTGAAGGCTTTCATTACTTCAAATAATCAATACATAATCATGAATAAAATAAATTACAGATGCTACTTTTTCATTGGTAAAATAATTTTAGACGGTTTTGCTAAACGCGTTCCATACATTTCACAGGGGGAAGAGATAACACAGTGTAATGTTTGGCTTTCAAATTGTGTTTTCAGTTACAATTTTATATACGTTTACACGTAACACTTCTAGTTAGGATTTTGTTTAAAGGGGAGTTTTCACTGCAAAAATTAATTAAAAACCACTAGCATGGTGGAAAGAATAAACTTATGAGAATATTAAGAGTCAGATACACTTGAACTTGAATCCAAGTGTTCTGATTTATCTGATTAGCTTTAGAGACAGCCCTTAATCTCTGAGTTTCCATTTCTTCATCAGTGAAAATGATGAACAAATGGAAATAATAACACCCACATGCATGGTTGTTAATACAATTCAAAATAATGTACACCACAAACGGACACGCATTGGGCATTTAATTACTCTCGCTATTATGCTATCTCTGAGCCACTAGGAGGAAGTTGTGTCACAGATAACCCAATTCAGGAACATGAAAATCTCTGCAATATGTATTTCAAAGAGTTAATCCAAAAATAACTTTAACGCTTAGCAATGTATCAGCTGTCTGAAGAGTCTACTGATCCAGTGTATCTCATTTCCTTACAATGTCTTAGAAACACCTTCTTTTTCTCCCCTAATCCAGGGAAGCAAGCAGAGCATACATGACGGTGAGGGCAAAGGTCAGTATGAAGTCACCTCACTCCTTTATTCTAAAATGATTTCTTTGTGCTTTAGCCGGTTTGGCTCAGCGGATAGAGTGTTGGCCTGTGGACTGAAGGGTCCTGGGTTCCATTCTGGTCAAGGTCATATGCCAAGGTTGTGGGTTTGATCCCCAGTGGGGGGCATACAGGAGGTAGCTGGTCAATGATTCTCTCTCATCATTGATGTTTCTATCTCTCTCTCCCTTTCCCTTCCTCTCTGAAATCAATATATCCCCCAGCTGCCGGCACCGGCTTTCCTCTGGCACCTGGGACCCGGGCTTCCCTCGCAGCCCCAGTTTTGTCTGGAAGGTCGTCTGGAAGGACGTCCAGTCTAAATAGCATATTACACTTTTATTATATATATATAACTGTGCCTCTTAATCTCCTCTGAAACTGATACTAGATGCATAAGCCATTCTGTATGTGTAAGGCTTGAGCTGGATGTTTACGTGGTTTTAGCGGTTATGTACAGTGAAGAGGCTATGCAACAGGACCAAAAGCAAGCTCTCAGGTTTTTCCAGCGACATGGGAGTCCATTTGCTAATGCCGTGTTGTTCTCTGCCCTGATTGAAACTCTCTTGGGTTAAAAAAAAAAAATTCTAGGGAAAAGAATGTGTTATTTTGGGTATTTTCTACCCGCGTCCTAGAAGACTTTGAATTCCAAGTGTTGCCAGCACCGTGGCAGCTCATTAATTTTCCAGTAGGTGAGCAAACGGATATCATTGAGGGAGAGCAACAGCCAGTGGACAAAAAACACGTTGCAAGCACCGGTGTGGCCGAACCTCAGCCTCCTGTCCTGGTCACCGCTCACGAGGACGGCCACCTGCGCTTATGGACTATAGAGGTGACAATGCCCACTACTTACCTGGCATAGAGAAGGATGAGAAAGAGCCCTGGCCAGTGTGGTTCAATGGATAGAGTGTTGGCCTGCGGACTGAAGGGTCCCGGGTTCCATTCCAGTCAAGAGCATTTACCTTGGTTGCAGGCCCCTCCCCAGCCGGGGCCCTGATCTGGGCACATACAGGAGGCAACCAATCGATGTGTTTCTCTCACATGGATGTTTCTCTCTGTCTTTTCCTCTCTCTTCCACTCTCTCTAAAAAAAAAAAAAAAATAAATGGAAAAATATAGGCTGAGGATTAAAAAATAATAATAAAATAAAACAAGTGAGATGCACGTAAACCTGTAAAGAATGTTTGTTTAAAATAATATATAACTAGAAAAGAGATCTGAGGAATGGCACGATAAGGTCAGGAGAAGTACAAAAATCAACCCCCAAATGATCTGTAATAGTCAGAGTCCAGATGCCAATCATGAATAGTTGTCTACACCTTCATGAATATTTAATTTCCTATGGATAGTTTCAAATTACTTTTACTACACATGGGATCATGGTTTGGTAGTAGAGATAATTTTTTAGGTAGACTACTTCTAGAGAAACTCAACTCTCATATGAATATTTTACAGAATTTGTGATTATACTTTATGCAGGGACGACTGCTAAAAGACATGCTACCTTTTACAAAACATTCTGCCATTCCTCTGACATCACTGAACACCGATTCCTGTTCCAGGATACTGCTGACCAGCAACGTAGGTAAGTCATTGTCTTCCTGTAGTTGGCTGTCTTAACCTACAAGATATAAAAAAGGAAAATATGTGGCATCATTCATACAAAAGAAGAAGAGCGATGCTCAAAAATGAGAAGAGGTGTTGAGAGTGCCAAGGATAGCTTGCTGAGTGGACAGAACAATCAATGATGTGAACACCTATCTCATTCCCATTTCCTTACAGTACGACATTCTATTTCTTCCATCTTTAAGTTGCGTATGGGACTACCCTGACCTTACCTATTGGGGAGAATATAAAGTTTTCATTTTTAACCTTGAAAGGGTTGTGTTGCATTAAGTCTTCATTATTAAAGGGAGAAGTGGCATGAACAGAGAGGAAAGGAAGTATTGGTTCTCAATAGGAGACTGTATTTTATACTTATTGTTAATAACTAATATAGTTGATCTTAATTCTTTTTTTTTAATGTATTTTATTGATTTTTTACAGAGAGGAAGGGAGAGGGATAGAGAGCTAGAAACATCGATGAGAGAGAAACATTGATCAGCTGCCTCCTGCACACCCCCCACTGGGGACATGCCCACAACCAAGGTACATGCCCTTGACTGGAATCGAACCTGGGACCTTTCAGTCTGCAGGCCGACGCTCTATCCACTGAGCCAAACCAGTCAGGCTGATCTTAATTCTTTAATGTAATGGTATTCTTTTTGGTGTTTTTCTGTTTGTTTTATTTTTTATTGAATTTATTATTTGGGTGGCATTGGTTAATAAATTATATAGGTTTCAGGTGTACAATTCTATAATACATCAACTGTATATTGTATTGTGTGGTCACCACCCCAAGTCTCCTTCCATCACCATTTATCCCCACCTGCCCCCATACCCTCTTCTACCATCTCCCCCCACCCACTTCCCCTCTGGTAACCACTATGCTATTATCTGTGGTAATCACTATACTATTATCTGTATATGAGTTTTTTTCTTGCTTGCTTGCTTAATCTCTTCACCTTTTTAACCCAGCCTTGCAACCCCCCTCCCCTCTGACAGTTGTTAGTCTGCTCTCTATCTCTGTGTCTATTTCCATTTTGTTTGGTTGTTTATTAGTTAGAGTCCACATATGAGTGAAACCATATGGTACTTGTCCTTCTCTAACTGGCTTATTTCACTTAGCATAATGCTCTCCAGGTCCATCCATGCTCAACCCCTGAGCCACACCGGCCGGGCTCTCCTTCACTTTTGAAGAATAATTTCTAAGGACACAGAATTCTAGGTTGGTGGGGGTTTTTCCTCAACATTTAAATATTTCACTCCATTCTCTTTTTGCTTACATGATTTCCAGGTGTCAAATGTAATTCTTATCTTTACTTCTCTATAACTAAGGTGAAATTTTTCCCTGTGGCCTCTTTCAAGCTTTTTTCTTTAGGTTTGAATTTCTACAGTTTGAATAGGATGTGCCTCGGTGTAGTCATTGTTGCTTTTTTAAAATCTAGTTGTTGTAACTATCATTTGGATTGTAGGACAATTATCTTCATAACAATTTGGGCTTCATTTGGTCATTGTATACTCATCTCTCTTTCATCTACCCTGATGTCTAGAAGAACTTTGACTTTGAGTGTATAAGGCAACCTCATTTTGACTTATTAAGCCAGAAACAGAAAAGAATTGCCACATATAAAAGTTGATATGAAATTTCTTCTTTCACTGCTGGTTCCTCAGATTCTACTTTATTTACTCTTATAAATGCCTTGGCAGTGTAGGTAGCATGGACTTGGACAACAGAATACTCATTTACATATTGCGATGTTTAAATTTATACAGAAGGACACGTGATCCTTTGCAGTGTTAGTTCCTTCCTGGATCCGCCTCATGATGAAAAGGTAAGACTTTAGTCTTCGTCTAACTTGTGAATCGGCGCATATGGATTGACATCTCTCTGTGGTAGACATCACAAAAGATCTCCAAGCCAAGACTCCCTACTCTCCTGTCATACAGACTGCTAGGAAACTTAAGCCACATGACAAGTAACACTGGTCTATTGGGGAAAGGAGGGGGTGGGTGAGTGAGCAAGCGAGCAAGCCAGCCAGCCATTCATCATTTTTCACCTACTTCATGTTTTGTTTTTATTTTGTTTCTTAAAATATATTTTTATTGATTTCAGAGAGGAAGGACGAGGGAGAGAGAGATAGAAACATCAATGATGAGAGAGAATCATTGATCGGTTGCCTCCTGCACAGTCCGAGCCCTCAACCCGGGCATGTGCCCTTGACCAGAATCAAACCAGGGACCCTTCAGCCCGTACCTCCTGCACGGTCCGAGCCCTCAACCCGGGCATGTGCCCTTGACCAGAATCAAACCTGGGACCCTTCAGCCCGCAGGCCGGCGCTCTATCCACTGAGCCAAACCAGCTAGGGCTCTACTTCATGTTTTGACTTATTTGTGAGATTCTATGGAGAAACCCAGAGCTTAAAAGAGCTTATCCATCATTTAGCCCTCCACAGGCAGTTTTTATATCTTTTATATCTTCATAGACACTCTATGGCAGTGGTTCTCAACTTTCCTAATGCCTCAACCCTTTAATACAGTTCCTCATGTTGTGGTGACCCCCAACCATAAAATTATTTTCGTTGCTACTTCATAACTGTCATTTTGCTACTGTTATGAATCATAATGTAAATATCTGATATGCAGGATGTATTTTCGTTGTTACAAATTGAACATAATTAAAGCATAGTGATTAGTCACAAAAACAATATGTAATTATATATGTGTTTTCCGACGGTCTTAGGCGACCCCTGTGAAAGGGTCATTCAACCCCCAAAGGGGTCGCGACCCACAGGTTGAGAACCGCTGCTCTATGGAAATGTGACTGCAGAGGTAGAAACTTCAGTGAGAGAGAGACAACAAATGGCTGCCTCCTGCATGCCCCCCAATGGGAATCAAGCCCACAACCTGGGCATGTGCCCTGACCGGGAATCGAACTGTGACCTCCTGGTTCATAGGTCGATACTTAACCACTGAGCCACACCAGCCGGGCTAAAAATGGAATTTTTGAGACCTTACCAAGCAAAAGAAGAGCTCATTGGGGCAGGGGCGCCATCACCTTCCACACATGCCCGCACCATTAATATATTTTTATATTTATATTCATATTATATTAATATGTAATTAATATAACATTTATGTTAATATATTTTAAGAGCTCCTAAGCCAGGCTCTTTAATGATTAATAGTTTGCTCAAGCTTGAACTTTAATCAGCACGTACTTATTCCAAGGTATATGTGCTTTATTGTTGCCATCTAGAAATTCAAGCAGCTGCTTGCCTGGCGTGCTCATTCTTTAGAAATTGTTCAAGCGATCTACGTAGAAGACAAACAACTGGTGCTGACTGCCTCTGTCGATGGCTCCGTAAGGTATGGACTTCCATGCTCTGTTTTTTGTTGTTGTTGTTGTTTTTTTTAAAATATATTTTATTGATTTTTTACAGAGAGGAAGGGAGAGGGATAGAGAGTTAGAAGCATCGATGAGAGAGAAACATCGATCAGCTGCCTGCACACCCCCTACTGGGGATGTGCCCGCAACCAAGGTACATGCCCTTGACCAGAATCGAACCTGGGACCCTCCAGTCCACAGGCCGACGCTCTATCCACTGAGCCGAACTAGTTAGGGCTGTTGTTGTTTTTAATCCTCACCCAAGGATAGTTTTCCATTGATTTTTAGGGAGTGGAAGGGAGGGGGAGAGACAGAGAGAGAGAAACATCGATGAGAGAGAGATACATGGATGGGTTGCCTCCCGCACGCATCCTGACCAGGGCCAGGGATCTAGCCTGCAACCAAGGTGCGTGCCCTGGACTGGAATCAAACCCGGGACCCTTCAGTCCACAGGCCAGTGCTCTATCCACTGAGCCAAACCGGCTAGGGCTGAACTTTCGTGCTGTGAATTCAGGGTTTTGAGTATGAGAGGAAAAGGATATTAAGCTACAGTCGAAGTACATAACCTAAACACAATCATGCTTAACTGACTGAAATAAATAAACAAATAACTAAAGGTGGCACACAAAACGGCCTTGGGAAGAGGGCCATTGGTTTGGAATTCTTTTGCAGGCCTAAGGAAACGAGATGCCTTGCTCATCTGTGTTCGAATGTATAATAAGTACTTTCAATAAGTAGGTTTTTTGTAGACTTATTTCAAAGAATTAAGCAAGATGGATACCTCAGAGAGGTAAGCCCAAGCCCAGGGAGACCACAGGAAGAGACACAGAATCAGAAGTCAGTAAGAAGTCACAGAGCCCGGCCAGCATGGCTCAGTGGTTGAGTATCGACCTATGAACCAGGAGGCCATGGTTTGATTCCCAGTCAGGGCACATGCCAGGGTTGTGGGCTTGATCCCCAGTGGGGGGCATGCAGGAGGCAACCAAAAATGATTCTCTCTCATCATTGATGTTTCTTTTTATTCTTTTTTTAAAATATATTTTTTATTGATTTCAGAGAGCAAGGGAGAGGGAGAGGGAGATAAGAACATCGGTGATGAGAGAGAATCATTGATTGGCTGCCTCCTGAAAGCCCCACACAGGGGATCAAGCCTGCAACCCGGGCAAGCCTGCAAGCCCTGACCGGGAATCAAACCGTGACCTCCTGGTTCATAGGTCAATGCTCAACTACTGAGCCATGCCAATTGGGCCTTCTTTTATTACGGTATAATTTACATATAACATTAGTAAATGATTCAATATTTGTATATATTGTAAAATGATCACCACAATAAGTCTAGTTAACATCAAGTCTCCTTAACATCCATTACCACAAATAGTTATAAAAAATGTTTTTCTTATGATGAGGACTTTGAAGATCTATTCTCTTAGCAACTTTCAAATATACAATATTGTATTATTAACTATAGTCACCATGACATATAAGGCCTACTTGTTTTTAATTGCCTAAATAATGCTACATATACATACATAAAATTCTAAAAACACAAATATACAGGTATTAATAGAAATGTCATGACATTTATTGAGACAAATTGTCACATATTAAAATGTCTCTAAAATTTTGGTGATGAATTGTCCTCTTAAGAGAATAAATTTAGGTAAGAGAGGCTTCAAAGTATATTAGCGAGTTTAAAATAAATAAAAGAATTTACAACTGTTACCACAGAAATACAGAGGATTATGAAAGAGCATTATGAATGGCTACATGCCACCAAATCAGACAACCTAGGAGTGGACAAAATTTTAGAATAATAAAACTTTCTTCGATTAAATCATGAAGAATTAGGAAACCTGAATGGACTGATAGTAAAGAAATTAAAACAGTAATCAAAACCTCCCCAAAAAACAAAACACTAGGACCAGATGGCTTCCCTGGTAAATTCTACCAAACATTCCAAGCAGATTTAATACCTGCCCCTTTCCAACTCTTCCAGAAAGTTCATGCTTCTTAACTCATTGTGCACAGCCAATCTGACCCTGGTACCAAACCCAGGTAAGGGTAACATCAACAAATAAAATGACAGGCTGATATCGCTGATGAACCTAGATGTAAAAATCCTCAAAAAAATATTAGCAAATCAAAAACAGCAACACATTGTAAGGATCTTACACCACAATCCAGTGGGATTCATCCCAGGCATGCAAGGATGGCTCGACATGAGAAAATCAATCCACGTGAAACACCACATTAACTAAATGAAGTAAAACTGTCAGTGTTTGCACATCACATATTAGTTATATAGAGAAGAACCTAAAGACTCCAGAAAAAAAGAAACACACACACCAAAACACAAAAAAAACTGTTATAAATAATAAATGATAAATGAATATAATGAAGTTACAGGATACAAAATCAATATGCAGAAATTGTTTGTTGTGTTTCTAAATACTAATGATGAACTTTCTGAAAGAAAAAATAAAAAAAGCAATCCCACTTATGATCACAATGAAAAGAATAAAATGCCTAGAAATAAACTTACAAAGGAGAGGAAAGGCAGGAAAGGCCTATACACTGAAAACTGTAAGACATTGTTAAAATTGAAGACATTTGTGTTCATGGGTTGGAACAATTCACATTATTAAAATGTGCGTATTGCCTAAAGCAGTCTACAGACTCCAGGCAATCCCTATCAAAATACCAAAGTTATTTTTAGAACAAAATTGGACAAAACATCCTATATTTGTAGTATGATACCATAAAAGACCCCAATTAGCCAAAGCAATCCTGAGAGAAAAAAAACAAAGTCAGTGTGAGCTCTGATTAGCTTAAACAAGCAGTGTTACTTGGAGAAAAACCTGTTCCTTATTTTCTGGCTTCAATGAATGGATATCATAAGTCCAAATTCAAATTGACATTTTCTGAAATTGTTGTAGATTAGAATTCTAGCTAATAAAAATGTTTATGTTATGATTAGATCCATATATTTAATGAAAAGAGTTCTGGACTCAAGTTTAAAATCCATAATGAAAACCTTGTCGTTAGGTCTGACCAGTTTGGCTCAGTGGATAGAGCGTCGGCCTGCGGACTCAATGGTCCCAGGTTTGATTCTGGTCAAGGGCATGTACCTTGGTTGCGGGCACATCCCCAGTGGGGAGTGTGCAGGAGGCAGCTGATCGATGTTTCTCTCTCATCGATGTTTCTAACTCTCTATCTCTGTAAAAAAAAAAAAAAAAAAAAAAAAAAAAATCAATAAAATATATTTTAAAAACAAAACAAAACAAAAAAAACCTTGTCGGTAACAAAATAACTTCCACTGAATTCCAGTGACTGTATTCTCCCTATCTTTTGCCTTTCCTTAGGCTCTGGCATGCCCTCAATGGTCATTACTGTGGGTATTTTGGACAGCGAAGGTCCTTTGACCTAGCACAGACAACTGATTTCATTTTGCCTTGTGATGTTAATGAGTACCCCATAGAAATAAAAGAAGAGAGCAAGTTCACAGAAAATAAACAAAAATATGACTACCCTCTGGTATTTGACCGGCAAAGGTAAGGCCATTGGGTTTCCTTTAGAGACCAGACAAGAATTAAGCTATTATCAGCTTTGCACAGTTGCAGTATCGTAGCCAATGAGGTTTATCCAAGGTGTGATTATTGCTAATTTAGAAATAATAATAATAATAATAATAATAAAACTATTATGATACCATAACACTGTGCTGGACATGAAAAATTCAAAGGCGAAAAACTCAAAACTTTTCAATTATTTTGCAATCCAGTGGGAGGGTGCACAAAGATTTACAATCCTATATAATAAAAGCGTAGTATGCAAATTGTCCCCTGGACCAGGAGGTCCTCCGGGAGTTCAACCAGGGGTCAGGGCCGGCCAGGGGAAGGGAGGGAGTACCCAGCCGGAAGCCAGCAGCCGCTAGGGACCCCACCAGTGTACAAATTTTGTGCACTGGGCCTCTAGTTCAGTATAATAGTACTGCTAAGAATATCAATTCCTAAGATAATCAAAGAGGAGCAAATAAGATTTATCCAAATAAAGAAGACCAAAGAGGCAATTGCCTAAGCAAAGGCACAAAATGATGAAACACTATTACATAGTCATTAAAGTTCAGGGAGCAACTAGAGAAGACATGGTAGAAGATAAAGCAAGAAAAGTCTTTAGATTTCAGAGAGGAAGGGAGAGGGAGACAGAAAGATAGAAACATCAAAGATGAGGGTTGATTGGCCACCTTCTGCAGGCCTCACACTGAGGACCGAGCCCGCAACCCAGGCATGTGGCCTGACCAGGAATCGTGACCTTCTGATTCATAGGTGGAGGCTCAACCACGTGGGGCATATAAAGACTAAAGCAAAATGAGCTTTTGTTATGGCCAACATAAAGATTTTCAACTTTACTGACATTACTGTGACAGAATGTACAAGAGGAAAAGCAGGTCTGGAGAAAAAAAAGATCGTGTATATGATTGTCTAACCACTAGCAGTACATCTGAAACCAACACAAAATAAAACTGGGGAAAAAAGATACTGAGTTTGGTTTTGGACAGGTTGAAGTCTAAGATGCCTGTGGGATATGATTTTTTAAACTAGAGGCCCGGTGCACGACATTCGTGCACTGGTGGAGGGTCCCTCAGCCTGGCCTGTGCCCTCTCACCGTCCAGGACCCCTCGAGGGAAGTCTGCTGAGGAGTCCTTAGCGCTGCCGCAGAGGAGGGAGAGGCTCCTGCCACTGCGCTCACCAGTCATGAGCCCGGCTTCTGGCTGAGCGGCACTCCCCCTGTGGGAGCACACTGACCACCAGGGAGCAGCTCCTGTGTTGAGCGTCTGCCCCCTGGTGGTCAGTGCGCATCATAGCAACCGGTCATTCGCCATTCAGTCTATTTGCATATTAGCCTTTTATTACATAGGATGTTTTCAATGCTTAGTTATGGCTTTTTAAACATATGCAAAAGTAAGTTTTAACTAAGTGGAAACTTCCCTGAGTCACCCAAATATCAAGCATTGGTTTGGTACCCAAGGTTTCCTCATCCCTACTATGCAGTGTTTTTCCCAATGGCTATATAATGAATTTAACAGCACGGAATGCTCGGGTCTAGTAGAAATCGCTTTCGTTCACCTGGAGAGAAATCTGGGAAGCCAAAGGGAATAAGACTTACGTACAGAGGTGGCATCATTAGGGCTGGTGCCATGGGAGCCGGAGGGTTTGGGACCCAGAGGGGAAAGGTGTGGATAGGTGTGTAACAGCTTTTCTTATATCCTCCTGTGCAGGTGGCAGAGACTGAGCTCCATGGCTTTGCTTTTCAAACGGACGCCTTCCAAGCCCTTTAAAGTGGAGCATGATTTTAAATTTTTCAAGTCTCTTTCTTCTCCCAAGGTAATTCTTTTTAAAAAAATATTATAATAAGTATTACAAAGGGTATTACATATGTGTCCTTCCCCCCCCCCCCACCGCCCTTGACAATCCCCTGCCCTCCCTTACCCCCCAGTGTCTTATGTCCATTAGTTATGCTTATATGCATGCATACAAGTCCTTCGGTTGATCTCTTACTCCCCTCCCTTCTGCCCCCCAACCCTCTCTGGCCTTCCCACTGCAGTTTGACAATCAGTTTGAGGCAGCTCTGCCTCTGTATCTATCCCAAGGTAATTCTTAAACATAACAAGAATACTGTAGTTTTCCTGAATTATCATACGTACAGTCTATCAGTTTGCTATTGCTGCTATGACAGATTACTACAAACTAAGTGGTTCAAACAACACATTAATCACTTGACTGTTCTGTACGTCAGAAGTCAGACCTGGGCCCGGCCAGTGTGACTCTGTGGTTGAGCGTCAATCTGTGAACCAGGAGGTCATGGTGTGAGTCCTGGTCAGGGCACATGCCCAAGTTGTGGGCTTGATCCCCAGTGTGGGGCGTGCAGGAGGCAGCCAATCAATGATTCTCTCTCATCATTGATGTTTCTATCTCTCTCTCCCTCTCCTTTCCTCTCTGAAATCAATAAAAAGTAAATTTTTAGGAGAACGGCAAAAGCTTGCCTAAGGCCCTGCAGCTAAGAAGTGGCAGAGTCAATTTGAACCCAGGAATTTTGCCGCTTACGGAATGTGCCCTTTTCATGAAACATCGGCTCCTCTGTTTTGCAGATTCGAAAGCATGCCTTGGAAAGTTTCTTGACTGAAAACAGAGAGGCGGGGATTGTTTTTGGCTCTCTGCCCATATACAGGGTGAGTTGAATGCTTCCAGGACTGGAGTGGTGACGGGACAATAGGGAATCTCACATCTCATTCCCGACCCTGGGCTCCCAAGCCAGGTCGGAGAAAATCCACATCACCGGGCTGTGTCCGACCCCGGGAGGCCTTCGGTCTGTGTGGCAGCGGCCTTGATCACTTGCCTGTGCCTTCCCCATGGAACAACACCACAGGGAACTGCTTTGACCTTTATCCCAGCTCTTCGTTACCCTTTAGCCTGGCACACACACCTGTCACGCTCTGGCCCCCACCTGACCCGTGTGCCCTCATTTCCACCACCTTCTCCCATGACCCCTATCCTCCAGCTGAGCCAGACTCCTCGCTGCTCCTTACGCATCAGCATTCCTTCCTCCTCAGTGACTTTGCCTGTGCTGCCCCCCTGCCCAGAATTCATCCACCTCTGGTTTCCCTCCAAATCCCCCCTCATCCTTCAGGTCTCCATTCCAGATCACCTCTGTCAAATTAAAGAACCAATCGGTTAACTGAGAGTAATAACATGAAGATAAAATATTTCAACTTAATTCTAACTTATTATTTCTTAAAATGTTACCCCTCCTTGCCCAAAACGCCTTCATTGTGATGAGTATCAAACTCTCAAGCTGCAGGTTGATGCTGAGGGTGAACTATTAAGAATTAATAGTGGGGCCCTAGTCCGTTTGTCTCAGTGGATAGAGCATCAGCCTTCGGATTGAAGGGTCCTGGGTTTTATTTCAGTCAAGAGCATGTACCTCCATTGCAGGCTTGATCCCCGACCCTGGTCAGGACACTTGTGGAAGGCAACCAATCAATGTGTCTCTCTCACATCAATGTTTCTCTCTATTTCTCTCTATTTCTTTCTCTCTCTCTCTCTCTCTCTCTCTCATCCCCTTCCTTTCCACTCTCTCTAAAAATCAATGGGCAAATACCCTCGGGTGAGGATTAATTAAAAATAAAATAAAATAAGAATTAATAGTGGGCAACTGTAAAGGGGAGTATATTTTAAAGCAGTTGGAACTTCTCACTCCCTATCCCCCACCCCTGAATTCACATTACTTGAGTATGTCTCACTCTTCACTTGTGGCTCGCAGGTACCAAGCCCCACGAGTCTGAAATTCCTTCCGCTCATTGGCTCAGAGGTCATAAAGGAGTCTTCTGACGGCTTTCCAGGAAAGAAGAAGGCAGGTCATGTTCAACATGAAAAAGTAAGTTAGCACTTGGGATTCCAGGGTCCATCCCATTTCTGTTTGGATTGGTATCATCTGCACCTAAATGAATAACAGGTAACAAACACAACTACAACAACAAAAAGCTGCTTTGTCCTATATAATAAAAGCCTAATATACAAATTGAACAAATGGTGGAACAACTGGTGGAATGACCAGTCGCTATGACGTGTACTGACCACCAGGAGGCAGATGCTCAACACAGGAGCTGCCCCCAGCCCGCACAGCCCCAGGCCAGCCAAGACGGGTGCCAGTGGTGCCAGTGGGGGCCCTCCATTCACCCCACCAGTTGCCCCACAAAGGGAGGTGACCGGCAGTGGCTGCAGGGCAATTGGGGGCAGGGCCGGCCTGTGAGTGGGCAATGCCAAGCCGGCCAAGGTGGGTCCCAGCAGGCCCCCTCCCCCAATCGCCCCACAGATCAGCCCTGATCTCTGGCCAGGCCTAGGGACCCTACCCGTTGCATGAATTTCATGCACCAGGCCTCTAGTCTATATATATAAAAGCCTAAGCTACTGGCCGACCGGCTGGTAGCTATGACAAGCACTGACCACCAGGGGGAAGACACTCAACGCAGGAGCGGAAACCACAGGCATGAAAACATGGAACAGACTGATGAATCTCAGAGGGAAGAGATTAACCAAAGATCTTATATGCATACTAGAGGCCCTGTGCATGGATTCATGCACTGGTGGGGTCCCTCGGCCTGGTGAAACTGGCTCTCCGACATCCCCTGAGGGGTCCCGGATTGTGAGAGGTCGCAGGCCAGGCCGAGGGACCCCACCAGTGCACAAATCCGTGCACCAGGCCTCTAGTTTAATATAGAAAACTTCATCATAATTTTGTTAGCTTGTGCCCTTAATGAAGAAAATATGAATGATTCTTGTTATCAACAATTCTACCAATTGTTTGAGTAAGAATTTTTGGCAATAGAAGAGTTTTTGTTATAAAAATTATTTACTTTTATTTTTTTAACAAAGGCAAATCAACCTTTCTTTTTTTTTAATACTAGTATATTTTTATTGATTTCAGAGAGGAAGGGAGAGGGAGAGAGAGATAGAAGCATCAATGATGAGAGAGAATCATTGATCAGCTGCCTCCTGCACGCCCCCTACTGGGGATCGAGCCCACAACCCGGGCATGTGCCCTTGACCAGAATGGAACCTGGGACCCTTCAGTCTGCAGGCCGACGCTCTATCCACTGAGCCTATAGTGGATATATCAGTTCCTTTTAATTTGTTAAGTGATGGATAAAACACAGTGGTATAAATAATCCAAAACTAACAGGTAAATCAAAAGAGTGTTAGAGTTTTATAATTGGTTTATTTTATGCCCCGTATGTGCATTGCTTTACCTCAATGGTATTAAATATGTAGAAAACTAAAGAAAGAAAGATCAGTGAAGCTTAGGAAGCTGCCTCAGCCGTTAGCAGATTGATCTGGGGAACGAAGTCTCCCACCTGGTCTTAGGGGGAAGAAGGAGCCGTCACGTGACCCAAGAGTATCCAAGCCCAGGCTGCAGGTAGTTAAATGTTGACTTTGGGGCTCCCTCAGTCTTTTTCTTTACGTTGGAACTCTCTACATCTGCTCTTCTCTCTCTCTTCTTCCCCATCATGGACCATACAATCAAATTGATGTTTGCTTTAAATATTGGCTGAACATGATTGACAGTATTAGACACTTCTTGATGTGATTTTTTAATGAGTTCAACATTTTATATGTATAACTTCCAAACATACCCAATTCCAACCAAAACGAACTTTCCTTTCTCATTTGTGGGATCATCACTGGATTTTATTTTCCTGTAAGTCACTGGACGCTGGAGATACTATTATACAGTATCTCTCTGCTGTATCTCAGCCTTAGCAAGCTTCTTTGCTGTTTCGTTTTAACCAATCCTTTACAGTTTGGGCAGTTGAGTGACAGAATGAATAACTGCCCAGTCAACTATTTCTAAAGCGTCCGCTCTTCCACCCATGCCCTTCACCCTTCGGTAGCACCCCCTTCTGTTTTTAAACATTTTACCCTGGAGGCACCCAGGATAGTTAAGTGAATAAATAGACTTTCTTTCTAGGAGGATAAAAATCTCTGCAAAACTTAGTGGTGCAGCCTGGCCACGTAGCTCAATAGTTGAGCATTGATCTACGAACTAGGAGGTCACAGTTCAATTCCCAGTCAGGGCACATGGCCGTGTTGTGAGCCCGATCCCCAGTAGGGGACGTGCAGGAGACATTCGATCAATGGTTCTCTCTCATCATTGATGTTTCTCTCTCTCCCTCTCCCTTCCCCTCTGAAATCAATAAAAATAGATTTTTTTTTTTTAATTAGTGGTGCAACTTGACTCTAGAAAATTATGTTTGTCTTGCAAGGCTAGTTCTTAACTGACATGTCCTTTATTTCACAGCTGCAGCGGAGGAGAAGTCTGAAGAGGAATTTAGTCCCACAGATCAACCTGTCGCCTTTCTTCTTCCCAGTCATCCCCAAATAAGAGAAAAATGAGAGCTGGCTGCCATGGCCGAGCTGCACGAAAGCACGGCCTGAAGGAGAGGTCGGGCTTTATTTCAGGATGAAATCAAAGGTCCATCAGACACTTGTCACCCTCTCTGTACCCTCAGACCCGCTGACTCCTGGAGAAGCTCATTCATGGAGCGCAGGTGGCCTCAGCTCTGAACGCCAAGCAAGCTGCCAGCAGCCAGGTGGCCAACATCTTTCACCCATTGAAATGCACTTAAACTGGCAGTGTTTCTTGTGTACTGTCGACAAAATGACAAAGGAAATAGAGAAAATCAATAGCATAAGTAAAATAATATGGCCCTAGTTATTACCTTTCCACCTTCCCCATTGTTCAACCTAACTCCTAGCCAGAATTATTATCCAACGGTACACGTTAAGAGACAAAAAAGATCAGAAATATAAACAATAAAATGGCAATAAATACGTATCCATCAACAATCAAATCTAAACATCAAAATAAATGAAAAACAAGTCGAATGAACAAAATAAACTGATGAATAAAATAGAACCAGGGCCCTAACCGGTTTGGCTCAGTGGATAGAGCGTCGGCCTGTGGACTGAAAGGTCCCAGGTTCGATTCCGGCCAAGGGCATGTACCTTGGTTGCGGGCACACCCCCAGTAGGAGATGTGCAGGAGGCAGCTGATCGATGTTTCTCTCTCATCGATGTTTCTAACTCTCTGTCCCTCTCCTTTCCTCTCTGTGAAAAATCAAAATATATTTTTTAAAAATAAATTAATTAAATAAAATAGAACCAGGGGCATGGAAACATAGAACAGACTGAGGAATCTCAAGGAGGAGGGGGTAGGAGGAAGCTGGAAAGATTAACCAAAGAATTTATATGCGTATCTGCATTGCCCCTGAACACAGACAATAGGGCTGGGAAGGCCTAGGGCGGGGTGGGATCCGGATGGAGGAGGGCAATGGGGGGGCATCTGTAATACTCTCAACAATAGAAATAAAAACTCAAAAGAGACAATTATTTTGCTGTGGCATACAAAAGAATTGTTATTAAAAGGAAAAATGTACCAGTCAACCTTCTAGCTTTTTTTTTTGTAAGAGAACATTTATTGGGTGAATCACAGAGGTAGATTCCTAGAAGCAATGGGCTTAGGAAACAGGTCGTAGAGGTAAAGGAAGGGCCCTTGGAGCTTGGGAGAGAGGAAGCTAATGGTGACGTGCCCGGGGCAGGGAGGGAAGGGAAGGGAAAGGCACTGGTTCCTGGGAGGGAGAGGCACTGGGTCCTCCATCCTAAGGGCTTTAAGGTGGAGAGTTTAGGGGGTCCCCAGGGAAGGTCTCAATAAATCATTCAGCAGCTTTCCGGGTGTCCTTTCAGGGTTGTGAGCTCCACTGATTGATTGGCGGCACCAGGGCAGGGGTCATGACTCCATGCAGCTGGTCCTAACATCAGCCTTCAGCAGTGGCGGGTTTTGTTGCTCATCTGGGCCTGGAGCTGAAATACAGCTGAGGACTAGAGGTTATCTCTCGGGAGGAAAGGTCAGGGGGGCCAAACCCCAAGACCAGCGATATGCAAGGGGGTAAAAGTCACCCTGGGGCGAGTCCCACCCTACCATGGATTGTCCATTGCTAGGCACCAATGGCTTTCCACCCTGATGTCCTGACCTGGCCCACCTTCCTGTCTGTGTAACCGCCTACAACACCAGTGGCTTCGGCGTCTGGTAAGAACCTGCTTTCTGGCTCAGCGATGGCATCTACTTGGGCACTTGCATGGCAAAGGGTTCTTTGTCTTTTCTCGTTAGGGAACGGTCATATGGAAGAAAATGTTCAGACTTTCTTAGGTAAAGTCAGAAGGTATTTTCATTTAGTCTAGAAATGACTCGAGATAAGTAGAACTTGAATAATTATCTGAACTTCCTAGGGCTTATCACTTACTAATTCTTTTAACTCATTGATTTTGTTACTTGGTCCAAATGAGTCATTTCACCAATGGGGACTCATGTGAAAAATAAAAATGCATCTAAACTTGATCAATAATAAATGAGATGTTAATTCAGTCATGTAAAATAAATTTAACTGGTTTGTCTTTTTTTTTTCACTTAAAAACATCCTTGAATCCTTATTATATAACCTGTTATATTTTTTAAAAAATAGCTTTTACATTTTGTCCAAACTCCTCTATGTGATTTCCAGTTATTTAAGTGGAAATTAGTTATTTTCTGTAAGGCTTATTTCAGCCAGTTTCCTCTCTTTCAGAGAAAAGGGCATGATTTACTGTAGAGCAGTGGTTCTCAACCTTCCTGATGCCGCGACCCTTTAATACAGCTCCTCATGTTGTGGTGACCCCCAACCATAAAATTATTTTCGTTGCTACTTCATCACTGTCATTTTGCTACTGTTATGAATCGTCATGTAAATATCTGATATGCAGGATGTATTTTCATGGCTACAAATTGAACATAATGAAAGCAGAGTGATTCATCACAAAAACAATATGTAATTATAGATGTGTTTTCCGACGGTCTTAGGCGACCCCGGTGAAAGGGTCATTCGACCCCCAAAGGGGTCGCGGCCCACAGGTTGAGAACCGCTGCAGTGTATAGGAAGGGACAGCAGTTTCTTTCAAGCAAGTGTTGCCCTCTAGTGGATCAAAAGAGACAACACAGTTTTTGAACAACTGGCTGACATTCTGGGAAGAATGAATTTGGGGAAAGCAGAGAGATTACTAATGCAGAAGAAAACAAAGACACCAGTTATTTTGCCAAATATCATAATTGTTTTCGATGAAATCAGATAATAATATTAGGATAATTGACTACCTACTAAATTTAAAACTTAAAAATGTATAAAACATCATAAGCACAAGTAAATTAACTAGAGAAAACACTTCTCACAAACAGGGCATAAATATAGAGTAAAGTGTACAAGAGATTTGAAAACCTCCAAGAAAAAAAAACAGGAAACATACAAAAATGGGTGAAAGTTATGATTAGGTTATATATACAAGAGGAAACCTAGAAAGCAATACTCATACTTGCAGTCGTTAGCAATCAGAGAAATGCAAATGGAAACAATAACTTCTCACTGTTACATGTTAAAGCAGTGGTTCTCAACCTTCCTAATGCCGCGACCCTTTAATACAGTTCCTCATGTTGTGGTGACCCCAACCATAAAATTATTTTGTTGCTACTTCATAACTAATTTTGCTACAGGTTGAGATCCACTGTGTTAGAGTGACCGGGATGGGTAGGAAAAAATATATGGATTTAGGAACCCTTATCCACTGCCGGTAGGAATTTATACTGGAATTCCTATCTGAAGAGCAATTGGCAGGTCAGTCAGATTAGGTATGACCCAGCCCGGTTGGCGTGGCTCAGTGGTTGATCTTGGACCTATGACCCAGGAGGTTGCTGGTTCAATTCCCCATCAGGGCACATGCCCAGGTGTGGGCTCCATCCCCATTGTGGAGCGGGCAGGAGGCAGCTGATCAATGATTCTCTCTCATCATTGATGTTTCTCCCTGTCCCTTCCTTTCTGCAACCAATAAAAAAAATACATTAAAAATAACCAAAACAAAACTATGTTTGTGGGTTTTCAGATCTATGTAGTTCAAGGTTGCAGCCTAGTTGAGAATGAAGAGGGCTTAGAGGAGCCAGGCCAGTAAGGAGAGAACCTTTGTCCCTTCTTAGTTAAATTGCTTACCAAGCGTCACCTCTGTCCCTTCCTAAAGTCTCTTAGAGCTCATGCTGCACCTCCTGTTTCCCTGGAGCCCCTTTTTAGGTTTTAAAAACAACAAAGACACGCGGACGCGCTTTGAACTTCAGCAGCTCTGAACTAGGCTGTGGTCGGGAGAGAACTACAACTCCCAGCGGCCCCCGCGCGAGAAACAATTCTCCACTCCCTGGCGCCATTCCATGTTGGCCAATCAGCTCAGCTCTTCCCGCCCCTTCCACAGGCTGCATGGGCTTCCGGCGGGCAGCGGCACCCGGAGTCGCAGGGCTACGGGACCACGGTCGCTTTCGGGCAGAACGCCCTTCCGGCGTCGCGGAGATGCGTGACGTCACTTCCGCTGGGCGGGGCGCGGGCCCTCCCGCGCAAATTGAAAGATT